TCCCAGAACTGAAGCCTACCTTCTTAGGGCCAAGCTTAATAACACTATGTAACAAAATTTGGGGGGGGGGGGGAACTATTCCTGGTTTGAAAGTGTTATTTCCTGTTTAATTGTGCAGCCTTTACTACAAAAGTAGCCATTACGCTCCAGAAACTTCGTTTTTCCAGCTGCCACAAACTATGTTTATTTATTTATTATGTATTTAAACCATTTATATTCCGCCCTTCTCACCTTGAAGGGGACTCGGGGCGGAGCACAACATATAAACAGAAAAACATTCAGTGCCGGGCCATAAATAAACTATACACGTATATAAACATTAAAATCACTAAAATCATTAAATCATTTGTCTCAACATTGACATCCACTGTTTAAACCATCTCAATCATCTGCATTGCATCTAGTTAGCATGGTGAGGTTTCCTATTGCTGCCTTATTGCACTGTCCCAAAGGCTTGGTCCCACAGCCAAGTTTTTATCATCCTTCTGAAGGATAGGAGGGAGGGGGCTGATCTGATATCGCCAGGAAGTGAGTTCCATAGCCGAGGGGCAATCACTGAAGAGGCCCTGTCTCTTGCCTCCGCCCATTGGGCTTGTGATAGAGGTGGGGCAGAGAGCAGGGCCTCCCCAGAGGATCTTAATTTCCGCAATGGTTCATAGGGGGAGATGCGTTTGGACAGGTAAATTGGGCTGGAGCCGTTTAGGGCTTTATAGGTCAGAGCCCACACTTTGAATTTTGCTCTGTAGGAGACTGGCAACCATTGGAGCTGGCGTAACATGGGAGTTGTGTAATCACTGTATGCCACTCCAGTTATTAACCTGGCCACCTCTCGTTGGATTATTCTAAGCTTCCGAACAGTCTTCAACCGCAACCCCATGTAGAGCACATTGCAGTAGTCTATCCTAGATGTAACGAGAGCATGAACCACTGTGGCCAAGTCTGACTTCCCAAAGTATGTTGAATTCATTGAGACTCGATGAGATATTCACTGAAGAACTAGAGCAAAATGCTATAGCAGGATATCCCTCAAAAACAAAGTTTTTGCAGCTTTATAAACTTTTCCCATGTTTTTATTATAGAAGCAATTAGGAAATGACATTTATAACCAAGGAACAAGAATAATATAATAATAATTTTATTCTTATATCCCGCCACCATCTTCCCGAAGGGACTTGGGGCGGCTTACACAGAGACCAGGCACAGCAAAAACAAGGATTTATGTGACATAGTATAATTAACACCATGAGGTCTCTATTGGTGAGTGATGGACCAAACTCCCAGGATAATTCAGAAACACACAACACAAGTTAGCATAAGACATTTATTAGCATTTTAAAAAATCATCAACATCACACAAGAGATAGAAATTCCTTCATGAGTCTGACCCAGAAATCCTAATGGACAGCAGCGGGCCATATGGCGCTGAGACAATGCTTCACTTTGGGTTCAGACAGAAAAGATTGTGAAGCTGCTTTTGAATGTTTAGGCTCACATATCCCTTGTCACCTTGTCCTTTCTCTAGCTGGGATTCTTTTTAGCAGCGTTGGTTGGAAAGGGAAGAATCAAGAGATGGTTCTTTGCATTGGAGGGCAAAAAAAGGATATTTGGCAGAAAGAGGATTGGTGGAAGGGAGGCCAAAACTGGGACCAGGATCCTCTTTTCATTAGCCAAACAAAAGTAAGCAAAGAGGCCTCTTAAAAATGCCCAACCATGTTAAGCATCTCCCAAAGCCATTAGCAGCCCAACTGCTATGGCTATAAGCCAATAGCGGAAACAGATGAAAACAGTCCCAATTTGGGACTGTCATATTCCATCCCATATGGATCTGGAGCGCTATTTTATGCAGTGGTTACATTTTTTTGTCAAAGGAGATGTGGATAAGTGAGACTCAGAGCAGAATCAAGCTAGGAATCCAGACAAGCTGGAGGGAAAGGCACTCTGCACATGCTCAACTGAATTGGCTCCCTGCAAAATGACATGAAATGGGATTCGGGGTTGCAACATGACATATCCCATCCTTTTCGATCTAAGGGCCACTTTTAAGGCAATGGCCAAATGGGAAGGCATCCTTTACCATACCCTGGGCCCCACAATCCATCCCACTCCAATGCCCAGGAACCCTATTTAACCATGTAGCGATTTGACAGGCGTTTTCAAGGCATATTTTTGTAACGTGATGTAAATTGAAACAAACCGCACCCAAAACGATTCCCCAGAAAGCTATTCAAATCTGCCACATTATATATTTTTGGGAATAATTATATCACCCTTTCAAGATGGTGTCCTTTCATTGGGAGAAAGAGGGCCAGCTAAGGATGCAAAGCAACGGTGAGAAGGCCCCCCGGCATAGAAGCCCAGCACAATGGGGAAAAGTCCGATCCTCAAAGGCGTCAACCCCAGTGGACTTGGATGGGCGAGAATCTCCAAAGGTCGGGGTGGCCCATGTGGAGCAGATTGCAGTAGGGAGAAGAGCTCCATTGGAAAGCTGGCAAATCGTCCCAAGTCGGGCCGCTGGTAGCCACAAAGCTGTAGAGCTTAGCCATCTCGAAGGACGTGACCTACGAGGAAAAAGGGATGAAGACATTGACCCAAAATGAGTCCAGGAAGATGTTCATCTTGTAGCCGGCATGGATGCTCAGAGTTGAGGAACAGTGGGGTGCATCTACACTATAGAATTAGCACAGTTTGGCCCCGCTTGAACTGCCACGCCTAAGTGCTATGGAGTCCTGGGAGACGTAGCTTTCTCTTTAGCCTTCTCTGCCAAAGAGTGTTAATGCCTTATCAAACTGCAGATCCCAGGATTCCATAACATGATGGAGCCACAGCTGTTCAAGGGGGTTCAAACTGTATTAACTTGACAGTGTAGATGAACCCAAAGCGGCCACCTCTAGTCCTTAATTTCTCCAGGAAGCTCCCAGGCAATAATTCAAGATGAAGGAAACATTGAGCGGCTCTCCAAAGCAAAACCGGTTTGTACAGGAACGATATCTGGGACTTCAGGTGAAGCATTAAAATAGTTTGCAAAAGACAGCCCCTTTGAAACTTACTCCTGGAATCACAGAATCCTAGAATTGGAAGAGACCCACCCCCAAAGGTCATCTAGACCAACCCCAATCTGCCAGGCAGGAAGACACAATCAAAGCCCTCCTAACAGAAGGCCATCCAGCCTCTGTGTAAACATTTCCAGGCTTCACCGGATTCCAAGGCACCATATTCCACAGTTGAACTGCTTTGATGATCAAGAGGTACTTTCTAACGTTTAGGTGGGATTTTCTTTCCTCCAATTTGAATCCATTGCTCTGTTGTGCCCTAGTCTCCAGAGCAGCAGAAAGCAAGCTTACTCCCCTCTCGCTAGAGAGGTCCCTTCCATCTCTTACCTTCATATCCGTCCCACCATGGGCCCTCTGACGCAAGGCCCCAAAAGGATAGGTGCCATTGGCGGGGTTGAGGTCTGAACGTGCGGAAATGGCATTTTCTCCATTCTGCTGTGGGTCGCAGCCCTGGCAGCGAGACAGTGGGTCCTTTGGGAAGTTGTTGAACCTAGAGGGTGGGGGGAGAGAGAAAGTCAATGCATTAGAGCAGCGTTTCTCAGGAGTCAGGACCCCTGGGGAGGAGTGGCCAGGGAGTGTCAGAGGGCTCTACAAATACCATCAGAAAACACTGTTGGTCATGGGGGTTCTGTGTGGGAAGTCTGACTCCATTCTATCATTGGTGGGGTTCAGAATGCTCTTTCATTGTAGGTGAACTATAAATCCCAAAAAACTACAACTCCCAAATGTCAAGGTCTGTTTTCCCCAAACTCCACCAGTGAGCCTTCATGCCAAGTTTGGTCCAGATCTAACATTATTTGAGTCCACACTGCTCTCTGGATGTAGGTGAACTAAAACTCCAAAACTCAAGTTCAATGCCCACCAAACCCTTCCAGTATTTTCTGTTGGTCATGGGAGTTCTGTGTGCCAAGTTTGGTTCAATTCCATCGTTGATGGAGTTCAGAATGCTCTTTGATTGTAGGTGAACTATAAATCCCAGCAACTACAACTCCCAAATGACAAAATCAATCCCCCCCCCCCCCCCCCAGTATTCAAATTTGGGCATATTGGGTATTTGTGCTAAATTTGGTCCAGTGAATGAAAATACATCCTGCATATCAGATATTTACATTACGATTCATAACAGTAGCAAAATTACAGTTGTGAATAGCAATGAAAATAATTTTATGGTTGGGGGTCACCACAACATCTGGAACTTTATTAAGGGGTCGCGGCATTAGGAAGGTTGAGGAACACTGCATTAGGGCAACTTCAGATGGTCTAGAGAGGACTATTTTCTACTCGTGGATCTATCACAACTCCAGCCCTAATAACAACAACAACAACAACAACAACACTTTCGCTGTCCTAGAGCCATCCCATAGAATCCAAACTCTCAAGCCGAACTCTCGAGCTAAGAATGTTAAGTAGAAAACTACAAATCCTCAATTTCCTTGACAGCAAAAGAGGAACCAAACTGCTATGTTTAAATTATTTATTATTATCATTACTACAATAATAATAATGATGATGCTGATGATGTCAGGCTTGGGGCTCAGGAGCACCCTCAGTCAACAGCAAACTTGGCTCTTCAAAGACAGGTATGGGCAGGCCTGGCCTGGGAGGTTGGATGCGGTCCCTTGAGCTCTTTTCTCAGGCCTTCCTCTCTCTCACCATCATATCCTTCCTTCCTTCTCTCTTTATTTCTTCCATCCCTCCAGCCCCTCCTTCTTCACCTCCCTCTTTCTCCTTTCCTCATTCCTTCCCTTCTACCTTTTCGTCCTTCCTTCCCTCTTTTTCCCTCCTTCCTCTCTCTTTTTTGCCTTCCTTCCTTCCTTCCTTCCTTCCTTCCTTCCTTCCTTGCCTTCCTTCCTTCCTTCCTTCCTTCCTTCCTGTCTTCCTCCTCTCTCTTTCTCCCCTTCCCCCTCTTCTTCTTCTCCTTTCCTCTTTCTTTTCTTTCTCTTTTTCCTTCCTTCTTCCCTCCTGGGGATGTTTAGCCATCCCCAAGAGGGAAGAGAAGGTAGAGATAGGGAACATGAGAATCATGTTTCAAGATTTAAAAGGGTGTCCCACTGAGGAGGAGGAGGAGGAGGAGGAGGAGGAGGAGGAGGAGGAGGAGGAGGAGGAGGAGGAGGAGGGGAAAACTGACTTTCTCCTGCTCTAGAGACCAGGACACAAGGGAGCAATATGTTCAAATGGCAGGGAAAGAGATTCAGCTGAAAAGATGAGGAAGAACTTCCTGAGAGTAAGAGTTGTCAGAGAGTGGTGTAGGCCACCTCAGAGTGTGGTGGAGTCTCCTTCTCTGGAGGCTTTTCCGCAGAGGTTGTCTATTGGGAGTGCTTTGGTTGTGCCTTCTTGCATGGCAAGGGGTTGGACTGGGTGGCCCTTGGATGTCTCTTCCAGCGCTAGGATTTTAGGGTTCTATATCAGGAGTAGGCAATACGAGGGGGTTTCATGGATACATTTTTCTCTCCCGTCCACCATCTCATCCTGACCAAGGCTAACCCTTTTAGAATCCAAATGTTTCCCATGAAAGGGGAGGAAAAGGAAGGGAGGGGACTTGGGAAGAACCCCCTCCCTCCTGGCCCACCCACTCCGCTCCAACCCCCCATGCGGCCCCCAAGTTAAAAGGTTTGCCCATGCCTGTTCAAGGAGAACTGCAAGTTACTTTTTTAAAAGTAGCTACAAGTATAGCTCCAAGGCAACCTCAAAAGCAGTTAGCGTTGTAATTTTGTCACACAAATTGAGTGTGAGCCACTTTGAGAGAGGAAAAAGCCGGATATAGCTACTAATACTTATTATTATTATTATTATTATTATTATTAATATTATTTTACAAATATATTGATTGTCCTGTAATAAAAGGCAATAAAAACTTCCTATTGCACAGGTGACTCCTACCTCATGAGTCGGATCATAGAATCCAGATCCCGGACAAGGGTCTGGTTGCGCCGGAAAATCTGGGCCCGGGGGTTCTTTTCGTAAGTGAACCAGTCGCCATACTTCTGCACCAGCTGAGGAAGACCGCTAGCGTTGAAGATCTCTTTAAAGTACCTGGATATAAGAAACAGACATTTTATTATTATTATTACTATTATTACTATTATTATTATTATTATTATTATTATTATTATTATTATTATTATTAGAAACATAATAATATTAGTACACAGCAAACAAGGTCACTATGCTGGCTGTTGTATTGGATCACACGTCAGACACTTCCCAAGTTCCCAAATAATAATAATAATAATTATTATTATTATTATTATTATTATTATTATTATTATTATTTCTCTTGGAACATCATCTGGCATTAGGGCACTTATTCTGGATGCAAGTTTGGGATTTTGCATGTAGAAACCTTCCCTGGAGGTTTTTCAACAGATGCTGGATGTTCATCTGTCAGGAGGGCTTGGATGGTGACCTCCCATCTGGGAGAAGGGGTTTGGTCTGGATGCCCTTTGGGGATCCCTTCCCACTCTAGGATTCGATTGTTCCATAACAGTGGTTCTCAACCATCCTAATGCTGCGACCCCTTAATACAGTTCCTCATGCTGTGGTGACCCCCAACCATAAAATTATTTTCGTTGCTACTGGTGGAGTTGGGGGTGGGGCAGGATTGATTTTGACATTTGGGATTTATAGTTCACCTACGATCAAAGAGCATTCTGAACTCTACCAGCGATGGAATTGAACCAAACCTAGCACACAGAACTCCCATGACCAGCAGAAAATACTGGAAGGGTTTGGTGGGTATTGTCCTTGAGTTTGGGAATTGTAGTTCACCTACATCCAGAGAGCACTGTGGACTCAAACAATGATGGATCTGAACCAAACTATGCCCACATGTCAACACTGGTGAAATTTGGGGAAAATAGACTTGATATGTGGGAGTTATAGTTGCAGGGATTTATACAATCAAAGAGCATTCTGAACTCCACTAACAATGGAATTGAATCAAACTTGGCACACAGAGCTCCCATGCCCAACAGAAAATACTGGAAGGGTTTAGTGGACACTGCCCTTGAGTTTGGTAGTTGTAGTTCACCTACTGAATGTAGGTGAACTATAACTCCAGAGAGTTGGAATCAAACAATGATGGATCTGGACCAAACTTGACACAAACACTCAATATGGCACAAACACTCAATATGGCCACATGTCAACACTGGTGGGATTTGGGGAAAATAGACTTGACATTTGGAAGTTGTAGCTGCTGGGATTTATAGTTCACCTACAATCAAAGAGCACTCTGAACCCCACCAATGGTAGAATTGGGCCAAACTTCCCACACAGAGACCCCCATGACCAACAGAAAATACTGTGTTTTCTGATGGTCTTCGGTGACCCCTCTGACACCCCTTCACGACCCCCCCCCCCGGGGTCCTGACCCCCAGGTTGAGAAACGCTGTTCTATAAGATGATGATGGACATCCTGTAGAATGGACCCAGAGCTCTCTGCCATCAAGCCATTCTCTTAAGATGCTAGTCCTTATGTTTCTAAATATAAATAAACATGGGGACCTGTCTTTAACTGAGTCAGAGCGTCCAACGTTGTCCAACACCAACAGATCTCCAGTCGGTGTTGGATCACAATTCCGGGGACACAACCTAGGACCTTTGGCCACTAAATGGTCTTCCCTGGACATGGAAGCAGTGGTCGCAAGCAAAGGGTCCTTACGGCACATTGTAGCTCGCCCAGTAGCCTTCTTCATACAGCAACTTGGTCTTGTCCTCTGCGATCACCATCCCCCTAGAGAGACAGAGAGACAGAGAAAAGGAAGAGTCATCCAGACTGGGGACTTTGGTTCTTTGCTAAGGATTAAAATAAGCCTGGGCAATGATCAAATGTTAGTGGGTTCCACGGGCTCCCCAGAAAACTTGGGAGAGCTCTCCTAAACATTTGAAAAATTACTACACCCTTGAGGGGTATCTTCCCAGATAAGGAGGCCTTTTAGCCTTCATGGCCGTGGTGTAAAGAGACGTAAGGAGCCAATATTTCAGTAAGGTGGGATAGTGTTGGGTGTCTGGATCTGTAGCTTTCTGATGAAGAAATTACCTCACAAACAAAGTGGGAAGGCTTTATTCAAAAGCATACATTAGAGTACAAAACAAAATTTCAATTGCAAGTTTATTTCCCTCACGCATCCTATCTTTCACGCTGCCCCCTCCTCTTCATTGCTCCTCTTTCCATGGCAGCCCTCGCCCTTGTTTCAAGTATACACAGGCCAGATCTAAAGCATGGCTTCCCACAAAACCAGGAAATAAGGTCATGACATAGGGAATGAAATCAAGTTGGTGGAGCACAAAGCCAAGCAACTCTGCTTCTTGCACAAAGGCACATTTCAGAGTACTTACGGTATCTGCTCCAAGACAGTAAGGATGCCTTCCTGGAGGTCTGCCTTGCCTGGGATGAAGGATTTGTAATCCACAATCATCCACTGGTTGTTGTATCTGTGCGGAAAAGGACATAAGTCAGTAACTGGCACACGTGAGACTGTGTGGCTGAATGGCCATCTGTCAGGAGGGCTCTGATTGTGTCTTCCTGTCTGGCAGGATTGGACTGAATGGTTCTTGGGAGTGTCTTCCAATACTACTACTACTACTACTACTACTACTACTACTACTAATAATAATAATAATAATAATAATAATATTAACCCAAAGGGACTCAGGGCGGCTTCCAAAGGTAGAAAATAGCAAACATTCAATGCCATGTACAGTAACTGAAAAAAAACATTAAAACAAACAATTAAATGGAGTGAAGAAAGGGGGGCCAGGGGACAGTTCCACCTTGTCTCCTGTGCTATTCTAATAATATGTTATAATATAATATATAATATATTGTATATACATATAATATTTATAATATTGTAATGTAATGCAATATAATACTACTACTAATAATATGATATTATAATTATATATTTATATTACATGTAATATTACTAATAATATTACAGTATAATTGATATAGTGCAATATAGCAATATTTAAAACTGATATTGTACTATGTTAATAATATATTGTATGTATATATACCTTGTAAGCCGCTCTGAGTCCCCTTCGGGGTGAGAAGGGCGGCATATAAATGTCGTAAATAAATAAATAAATAAATAAACAGATGAGACGCTTTGGCTAAAACATATAGATCAATCAGGCATCATAAATAATACAATGGACTGTTCGAATAGGTATGAAAATATAGCTCTTCGGTAAGTTAGGGTAATCGTTGTCAAACATCATCAGATCGTAATCGTAATCATCAATGATATGATTCTACATTTGGCCCTTTCCTAAGCCAACCAGAAGATATACCAGTTGGGGGATTCCAACTGCAATCCAAAGAAAGGAACATTTCAGAGCTCTGGATCTGAGCAGAGAAGGGTCTTTCCCATCACCTCCTCTGTTTTAACTGGAGATGCTGAGACTGGGCTCTTTGTCATGGGCCCCACTGCTCCACGTCTGCCACTCACGTGCCGCTGTTGAATCGCTGGAAGATGGAGGCCCACTCAGCCCCACTCTTGGCAAGCCGGTTGGCCACAAGGTTGCGCAGCCATTCCAAGACGCTGCCCTCGGCCTTGATGTACTTCCATAGGGAGCCGTTGCTGTTCCCGATGGTGGTTTCCAGGCAGACCTGCGAGGTGGGGAAGAGTGCTCAGGAGCCTCAAAAGCTACAGGATATGCTACCTGGGGGTCCTTCTCTGGAGATGGCTGGATGGCCATCTGTTGGGAGGATTTTGATGGTGTCTTCCTACATGGCAGGGGGGTTGGATTGGATGTCATTTGGGTCACTTCTAACTCTGTGATTCTATGATTCGATGAGGTCTAACTGTGGATTCTGCTCATCAGATGCAGCAGCTGATTCATCCGAGCAAAGATGGTCACTGAAAGATGGTGGCCATGGTGCAGGATTGGTGATTAAAATGCTATAGGGAACATGTCACTTTGGCACCCGAGGTCCTCTGGTTCTACCAATGGGTGCTTTGAGTGTGAGGCAAGTGAGAATGCATCCCCAAAGGTTCGGTGATAGACAGTTGGAAAACTGGGATGAAGGGATGCAGAATGGAGTCCTCTGGAAATGGATATGGAAGCTTGAACAGGACCTTCTCTGTGCCCTAACTGGATGTACTTCTATAGGGAGCTGTTCCTGTTCCCGATGGTCGGAGTGAGCTTCTGACCAATTTGCTTGGCTTGCTGTCGACCTTTGCAGCCCGAAAGACAGCTGCATCTGTCAAGTAGGAAAATTAGGTACCGCTTATGCAGGGAGGCTAATTTACGATGCCATAAAAAAATCTCCAGCAAGCATGCAAAGAATGAGGAAGTACTTCATCAGTGTCACAAATGGACGGTGAAGCGACAGCTCCCCTGGTGGCCAGAATACCCCCATGAAAAAGCTGGAATGTTAAACAGCCTCTGTGTGTCTGTCTATATATGTTGTGTGTCTATGGTATTGAATATTTGCCATGTATATGTACATTGTAATCTGCCCTGAGTCCCCTGCGGGGTGAGAAGGGTGGAATATAAATACTGTAAATAAATAAATAAATAAATTTCCAGACAGACCTGTGGGGTTGGGAGAGTGCTCAGCAGGCCTCAAAAACTACAGTATATGCTACCTGGGAGTCCTTCTCTGGAGATGGCTGGATGGCCATCTGTTGGGAGGATTTTGATGGTGTCTTCCTGCATGGCAGAGGTGTTGGCCTGGGATGAAGGGATGCAGAATGGAGTCCTCTGGAAATGGACATGGAAACTTGAACAGGACCTTCTCTGTGCCCTAACCACTTAACTACCTTCTGCAGTTTAGCCACATTATAATCTCTAGGGGGCAAGGCACTCCCGTCTCGGAACAGTACAGAAGACAGAACAAGAGAGAACATGGGAAGGTTACTCTAGGAACCTACTTTGGGGACACTAAGTCGTAGTCCATAAAAGCAATTTTTCAGAGCTGCAAACTGCTACTCACCAAGCCACTACTCAAGATGTAGAAGTCATCACCAGAGAAGATGGTGCCCGGGTACGAAGAGAAAGCCTGGATGTACCCAGGGACCAAGCTGCCATCTGAGGGACACAACCACAAGCAACCATCAATGGGTGGCTACCAACCACCAACAAGCCTTTGTCTACATCATTTTGGTGGATTGGGGAGACTGGCACATCCTTGTGTTTTTACCACAATTCACAATCAGATCAGTTCCTATGAATGCTCTGGGCTCGTAAGCCACTTAGAACAGTCTTTCCCAACCTGGAGCCCTCCAGAGGAGTTGGACAACCATTCCCATCATGTCCAAGAGTGATGGGGGTTGCACTCCAAACCCTCGAAAGCAGTGGTTCTCAACCTGTGGGTCCCTAGGTGTTTTGGCCTACAACTCCCAGAAATCCAAGCCACTTTACCACCTGTTAGGATTTCTGGGAGTTGAAGGCCAAAACATCTGGAGACCCATAGGTTGTGAACCACTGCTCTAAAGGACACTAGGCTGTGGACGCTGGCTGAAATGATGATCATGAACTGGGAAGTTGAGATCTCACAATATGCATTTACTTGAAATTCAAATGATTAGTTTAAGTCTGGTTTAAGAGAAGAAAGTGGGATATTAATATGAATAAGAATATCAACAATAATAAATATTATTAATAATAATTTTAATATACAGGCAGTTGGTATGTTACAAACATCCAACTTACATATGACTTCAAGTGACAAACGGGGCGAGACAACAGGAAGTGAGAGTAATCTACCCCTCGGAAAAGAAATTCACTGCTGGAAGAGTTGTTGTCATGGGGAAAGGTGTCTGAACTGAAGCTTTATCCCCAATCCTTGTTTCCACAACAAGCCAAATTTTCCAAAATCCAATTCTCGCAGGGACAGAAAGAGAGGTAAAATCTTCTAAACAGGGGCACAGACAGCAAAACAAACACCACATGGGGTGTTAACCCTTCCCTATGCTATCCAAAACTCGCTGGCTCTCTCTCTCTCTCTCTCTCTCTCTCTATATATATATATATATATATATACACACATACATATACACATACACATACACACACACGCGCACACTAGCTGTACCTGCCACGTGCTGCTGTGGCCAACATTCCCTCCCACTTTCTCTCCTTCTTTCCCTCCTTCCTTCTCTCCCTCTTCCCTTCCTTCCTTCTCTACCTCTTTCCTTCCTTCCCCTCCCTTTTTCTTTTCTTCCTTTCTTCCCTCACTACCTTTTTTTTACATTCCTTCCTTTGCTCTTTGCTCCCATCCTTCCTTCTCTCTTTCCTTCTTTGCTTCTCTCCCTCTTTCTCTCCTTCTTTCCTTCTCTCCCTCCTTCCCTGGCAGCAAATGAGGCTCCTCCTCTTGCCCGACCCACAATTTTGCCATCTGTTCCTAGCTCCTACTCTGGCTGGAAGAGGGAGAATGGTCCGCAGTGTCTCTCGAACTTACTGTGTCCTCATATAGGAGGGGGCGGGGCTATGGAATTCATTTTTGCACATGTGCTGTGTCATCTTCTACCTTTTTTGGATTTTAAAGTTCTTTTTGCTGTTTTGGTGTAATTTTCTGAGTGATTGTCACTCCTTGAGTTAGTCTCTGTCTTGTGGCCAAATTTGGTGTGATTTCGTCCAGTGGTTTTTGAGTTATGTGCATCCCACAAATGAACATTACATTTTCATATATATAGATATATATACACACACATACATACACACATGGATGGAATTACACTTTAAAAATGTACCTCTTCTGACTTACAAACAGATTCAATTTAAGAACAAACCTACAAAACCTATCTTGTTCGTAACTTGGGGACTGCTTGTAATTATTAGAATTAAAAAACCAACATTAATAACATTATTATTAATAATAATAATAACAATAATAATCATAGCCTACCCTGTCCCAGGGGATCTCAGGATAGCATACAAGTAAAATCCCATTCAACTTTCCAAATGTAATTCAACAAACACAAAATACTGAGCTCAACATATTGTGCCCCCCCCCCCCATTCCTATTTTCCTGCCACTCACTGTTCGCCGAAGTCCGGAATGGCAAGGTATACTTCTTGAGGATCCGCAGCATGGACTGGTAGCCGTTCCACGTATCATGGGACACTAAGAGGTCCTGGTTTCCCGGCAAAAGTTTGATGAAAGCCGAACAGGACCCCGAACCCAGGACACACTGCTTCCCGGACTTGTTGAAGGCCGATTCCAGGTCCTCCAAGTCCCCTCCCAGCTGGAACAAGCTAGAAGACGGTACATTCATGGAGGATCTGCCATGTTGGCCGCACTATAGGTGAGCTGTGTTCTACCCCTATGTTCAGTGGCTCTCATCTATCCTTCTCCAGATGGACTTCAACTCCCAAAACACCTCAAAACTGGAACTCTGAAGTCCCAAACAAGCTGGAAGTCCAAAGTTGGAGGACCTAGTATAGTGCTAGACTCCATTCAATAATTGAGGGTTGCAATCATAGTCAACTTCCCATCTCGATGTCTTTCTGTAAATGACCAGGATGGGATGTGAGATTGAACCCTCTTTTGTCAGGAAGCAAAATGTGTTCCACAAAGCCATTTTTTTTCATCCCAAACTATCTCAGCTTCTGATGCTCAGGTGCCCATCACCACTCCAACCTTAAATTCTTGGAAGCCTTCAGGGAGGAAAGGAATTTATTTCACACAGCAAACCGCCATCACACAATAGGAGAGATAAGTGATAAAGCCATCCTGCAGAACCTACAGATAATCCCACAGTGCAGAGGAGACAGAGCATCTCGTTTCGATAAGATACCAAGTCATGTGAGGACTATAGTTCTATGGTCCACTCGGCCCCTGTGTTAGCTAGTGTTGAACCGAGAATGCATCTACACCACTGAAGGAAGGAAAGTCCAACACCGTTTTAACTCATGGCAGTTGTCACTTTGCAAGGTCATAAGCCTGGTGCCTCCTTGAACTACAACTCCCACGATCCAGTAGTACTGAGCCACAGCAGTCCAAGTGGCGTCAAACTGCATTTCATTCGACAGTGTAGCTGCACCCTGAGACTTAGAGGAGATCTGAGTTCAAATCCTAATGGAGCCCTGAAACCCAATGGTTGACCTTGGACAAATCATAATACTACAATACTATATTTTGCTCCCTGCAGGAAAGGACAGATAGTAATGTAACACACAATAAACAAAACAATCCGAAATCTGATGAGCTGCAAAGCTGAACAGGGATGGATCTACATTGCCATATAAACAAACAAACAAACAAACAAACAAACGTTATTTATATCCCTCCACCACCTCCCAAAAGGGAATCAGGGCAGCTTACAAGGCACCACAAGTGTAATATATAACACAAACAGTACATGACTATAAAAACAATATCACATAAAAGATAAAACAACCACTATTAACACATCAACTAAAATAAAAACACAGTTTAAAATGCAGACCATCTATAGTTAGAAGGGAAGATGGAAGAAGAAAGAGGAAGGAGGGAGGAAAGAAGGAAGGAAGGAGGAGAAGGAGAGAAAAAGTGGAAGGAAGGGAAGGAAAGGAAGAGAGAAGAAGGAAGAAAAGGGAAGGAAGGAAGGAAGGAAGAAGGAAGGAAGAAGGAAGGAAGGAGGAAAGGAGGAAGAAGAGGAAGGAAGGAAAGAGGGTGAGAGGGAAGGAAGGATGAAGGAGTGGAAAGGAGGGAGGAAGAAAGAGGGAGGTAAGGAGAAAGGAAGAGAGAAGGATGGAAAGACAGGAAGAAGTGGAAGGAAGAAAAGAAAGAAGGAAGAGGAAGAAAGAGAGGAAGGAAGAAGAAAAAGGAGGGAGGGAAGGATGGAAGGCGAAAGAGGGAGGAGGAGAGGGAGGAAGAAGGAAAGAAAGAAAAAAGGGAGGGAAGGGAAGGAAGAAAAGGAGAGAGGGAGGGAGGGAGGGAAGGAAGGAAGAAAGGAAAGGAAGGAAGGAAGGAGAAAGGAAGGAAGGAGGAGAAGGGAAGGAGGAAGGAAGAAGAGAAAGGGAAGAAGGAGAAGAGGGAGGGAAGGAGGAAGGAAAGAGAGAGGAAGGACAGGGTGGTGAGAGAGAGGAGGGTCTGAGAAAAGAACCCAAGGGACTGCAACTGGCCCCCAGGCCTGGGTTTACCCATACCTGGTGTAGACCCATGTAATGCAGTTTGAACTGCATTATAGGGCCAGTGAAAACCCATACTGTACAACGCAGCTCAAACAGCATTATAAGGCAATATAGATCCAGACATTTTTCAATCTGGTCACGGAGTCTGGGAAAAAATGCCTGTGTGACTAACAGCACTCAGAATCCCCTGAGTAGAGGACTCTGGGTATTGCAATCCAAAAAAGGATGTTTACACCAGTCGGTGGTTCATCAGTCCTGCCAAATGACTAGAGTTTTGAAGGCATATACAGTATACACCAAGACTCACAGGAAGCCAAAGGGAGCGATGGAGAAGGTCCCGGTTGGGAAGGCCATGCGCCCGTTGTAGCCGTCTTCGAGGCCCTTCAGCTGCAGCAGGGCAAGGCGGACCTGGAGGTTGGGATGGGACAAAGGACCAGGGTCACACCGAGCCCTTACTGCCTGAATCAGGAGCCCAAAGCCAAGCTCTTTAGACCAACCTGGTACCAATATTCAGAGCCTTCTGCCTGCTCCATCTGCTGCTCCATCCAAGCCAGGTTGGTTTCGATGTAGCTTTTCAGCTTCTGGCAGTACTCCGTCTGGAACTTGAAGGGGCCGCAATAGCCCACCATGGTGTTCATCCAATGCATGTAGATGAGCTGGAAGGCATCCAAGAAAGAAAAACATTCGTTGACGTCTTTGCATGAGAACGTGAGCGCAGACCTCCATCTGTGGGGAAGGATTGGATGGTGTCTCCCGGCACAACAGAAGGGGATTGGACTGGATGGCCCTTGGGGGTCCCTTCCAACTCAAATGCCTAGAAAGGTGATCATTGTTATTATCATTACATTATGTTTATTTATACCCCGTTTTTTCTCTCCACAAGGAGATTCAAAGAGGCTAATGATGGAATGATGGAGTTTCCTTCTCTGGATGTTTCTGTTGAGAAGGATCAGATGGTATCTTCTAGCACAACTGAATGAGGTTAGTCTGGATGGCCTTTGGGGGTGCCTTCCAACTCTAGTGTAATATAGAATGCCTAGAAACATGATGATACAGTGTCCCTCTCTGGATGTTTTCAAGCACAGGTTGGATAGGAAGGATTGGATGGTATCTTCAGGCATTACAGAATAGGGTTGGTCTGGATGGCCTTTGTGGGGTCCCTTTCATAGGATTCTATCTTCTAAGGGGAGAAATACAAGGGCCTGAGCAGAAACTTGGAAGAACTATGTTCTCATACCTGCTGAGATACAGTTGCTTCCGCCAATCCAGCAGCATAGGCTTGAAGGCTGTCATTATACTTCTCATTGGTGGTCAACTCCAAGGAGGCCCACCTGAGATAGAAAGCAGAGGTTTTCTATATTTTAATAATAATAATAATAATAATAATAATAATTTTTATTTCTCACCTGCCTCTCCTCATGGCTCCCTATGACAAAACCCCTATACGTGCCCCGGTTCAATGAGAAGGAATGTCGGAAGTTGTAGTTTTCCAAGGTCCTTCGCCTTCTCAGATCAAGAGGGCTGGTGCCTTGCCAAACTACAACTCTTAAGGCTTCATACTATGGGAGTATCCTGGGAGTTTTAGTTTTCCATGGTCTTTCGCCTTCTCGGCCCAAGAAGGCTGGTGCCTTGTCAAACTACAACTCTTCAGGTTTCATGGTATGGGAGCATCCTGGGAGTTATAGTTTTCCATTATCTTTTGCCTTCTCAGTCCAAGAGGGCTGGTGCCTTGCCAAACTACAACTCTTAGGGTTTCACAGTATGGGAGTATCCCGGGAGCTGTAGTTTTGCATGGCCTTTCACCTTCTCAGCCCAAGAGGACTGGTACCTTGCCAAATTACAACTCTTGGGGTTTCATAGAACTAAGTTCAAGTGAAGCCCCTGGATCAGCCCTTCCTCCAACCTGTTAGCAATAAATCAACCGGAAGAACTGAAATAACCCCTTGACCTAATTTTCCAAGAAGTCCAGCTCTGAAACCACTGTTTTCCCAGTTCTGGGGTTAATCCCACAAATCTTCAGGAAAGAGCCGGACTTGTGAAAACACCTCTCACTGGGTGGTTTTTACGAGGGAGGCAAGCAACCAAGGCGCAAGACCAGAGACAGACCGGTCTGGGAGGGAGCTGGATTTAGTCATTTATGCCCGAAGCAGAACCCTTCTAGCTCTTTCGGACTACAAGTCCCATCGGGCCTCTCCAGCCAAAGCCAATGGAATGAGGACATTGAAGTCCAACACACCTGGGAAGGTTCCTGCATCTGTTCTGCAGAAACAAATGCCAGTCTATAGCACAGGACTACCTGTAGTAGTAGTAGTAATAATAATAATAATAATACTGTAATAATACTGTAATACTACTACTACTACTACTACTACTACTAATAGTCTGATTATTACACTCTTCTCACTAACAACTTGCTTTATACTGCAGAGTTAATGTAATTTGACATAATTTAACTGCTATGGCTTAATGTGATGTTTTGGACAGCTCATTCCAAAACACTTGGGAAACTACAGAGCCCAAGTCCAACACACCTGGGAAACCACAGAGCCCAAGTCCAATATAACTTGGAAACTACTGAGCCCAAGTCCCACATGCCTGGGAAATGACAGATTCGAAGTCAGAAAAAACCTGGAAAAGTATAGGGTCCAACTCCTTAATACATGGGAAACTACAGTGCCCAAGTCCAAAACACCTGGAAAACCAGAGAGACCAAGTCCAACATACCTGAGAAAATATAGGACCCAAGTTCAAAATACCTGGAAAAGTATAGGGCCGTAGTCCATAACCTTTGGGAAACTATAGAGTCCAATTCCAATATACCTGGGAAACTATAGAGCCCAAGCCCAAAACACCTGTAAAACCACAGAGCCCAAGTCCAACATGCCTGGCAAACCACAGAGCCCAAGTCAGAAAAAACCTGGAAAAGTATAGAGCCCAACTCCATCATACTTGGGAAACTACAGAGCCCAAGTCCAAAATACCTGGAAAACCAGAGAGCCCAAGCCCAACATGCCTGGGAAAGTATAGGGCTCGAGTTCAAAATACCTGGAAAAGTATAGGGCCCCAGTCTATAACCCTTGGGAAACTTGAGAGCCCAAGTCCAAAACACCTGGAAAACCACAGAGCCCAAATCCAACATGCCTCGTAAACGACACAGCCCAAGTCAGAAAAAAAACTGGAAGAGTATAGGGCCCAACTCCATAATACTTGGGAAACTACAGAACCCATGTCCAAAACACCTGGAAAACCATAGAGTCCAAGTCCAACATACCTGGGAAACGACAGAGCCCAAGTCCAAATACCTGGAAAAGTATAGGGCCCAGGTCCAAAATATCTGGAAAAGTATAGCGCCCCAGTCCATAATCCTTAGGAAACGACAGAGCCCAAGTCCAATATACCCAGGAAACTACATGCCTGGGAAACGACAGAGTCCAAGTCAGAATAAAACATGGAAATATATAGGGCCCCACTCCATAATACTTGGAAAACTACAGAGCCCAAGTCCAAAACACCTGGAAAACCAGAGCCCAAGTCCAACATGCCTGGGAAAATAAAGAGCCCAAGTTCAAAATCCTTGGGAAAGTATAAGGCCCAAGTCCAAAATACCTGGAAAAGTATAGAGCCCAGTCCATAATACTTGGAAAACTACAGAGCCCAAGTCCAACAAAGCTGGGAAACTACATAGCCCAAGTCCAACATACTTGGAAAGCTACAGAGCCCAAATCAACTCACTGGACGTATAATAATATTTATTTATTTATTTATTTATTTATTTGCGACAATTTCTATCCCGCCTTTCTCAGCCCAAAGGCAACTCAAGGTGGCTTAAGAATAACAATCTTTATTTATATCCCGCCCAATCTCCCCGGAGGGACTCGGGGCGGCTTACAACAAAACCAGCGAATATAATCAATAATATAACACAGGCAATAATCAGATATACATGAATAAAAACTAAATTGCACAATAATGCAAACATAAATAAAGAAACAATTGAAAAGACTATAAAAACCAGTGTATAACACCACTGAAAACCAGCCATTCCTATGATCAGACTATCCAGGCTTTCAGTTATAGTTCTAATAACCATAGAGCATTAAAAGTGCATATAAAGATGCCCCCTATACTATTAGATGAATGCAGTTTGACACTATATTGCCATGGCTCAATGTTCTAGGAGTTGTAGTTCTCCAAGGTCTTGAGCCTTCTGTTCCCAGAAGCCCATCGCCTTGAGCCATGGCAGTTCAAACGGCAATGCTTCCCCAGCTCTGGGCTGCCAGCTGTTTGGGACTTCATCTCCCAGAATGCCTGCTCATTGGCCGCAGCAGCTGAGGATTCTGGGAGTCGGAGTCCAAGGCGCCTGGAGGGCTGCCGAGCGCCTGACCGTCTTACCCGTTCTGCCGGATGCCTTCAGTGAGGTTGGCCCAAGCGACGGCGCCGGGGGCCCAGCCGTCGATGAGCTTCAACCCGGCCGAGCCGGGCTCCAGCACCACTGAGCAGCTCCGGGTCGGGACCTCAGCCGGATCGGGGAAGGGAGGCGGCCGATGGGCCGGAGAAAGAGCCAAAAGCAAAGAAAAGGCGAAGAAGCGGAGCAGCGAAGGAGAAGCCATGGGCGGGGAAAGAGCTTGTAACCGCAAGGAGAGACTCCTTCCAACTGAACCGTGCCCTGGGGCGCTACGCCGGGGGCGGCCTCTAGGGGGAGCTCTGATCATTGGGAGAGCCCATCGCACTCCACAACGTCGAAAGCAACACCGCACTGAATGCCGGGATTTGAAGTTTCAACAGCCACCTTGAGCCTCCTCAGCCCCAAAGCTCTTGGAACTGTGAACTACAAGCCCCATAACTACACGGATCTTAAAGTGGAATCAGCATTATAACAGTAAGCTAAAACTTTTTCCCTCCTTTAAAGAAGAAAGTGTTTCAGATCGAAGCTTTGAGGTGTTGCAACAGTTTTGGACTCATCTTCTATAACGATATAAATAAAAATGTAATGTTCGTTTGTGGGATTAACAGAACTCAAAAACCACTGGACGAATTGGCACCAAATTTGGACACAAGACACCTAACAACCCAATGTATGTCCTTCCTCAAAAAAATTGATTTTGTCATTTGGGAGTTGTAGTTGCTGGATTTATAGTTTAACCCTACAATCAAAGAGCATTCTGAACCCCACCAACAATGGAATTGAACCAAACTTGGCACACAGTTCTCCATGACCAACAGAAAATACTGGAAGGGTTTGGTGGGCAGTGTCCTTTGGTTTTGGAGTTGTAGTTCACCTACATCCAGAGATCACTGTGGACTCAAACAATGATGGATCTGGACCAAACTCTACATGAATACTCAATATGCCCAAATGTGAACACTGGTGGAGTTTGGGGAACATGGAATCTTGACATTTGGGAGTTGTAGTTGCTGGGATTTATAGTTCACCTACAATCACAGAGCATTCTGAACCCCACCAACGATAGAATTGGGCCAAACCTCCCACACAGAACCCCCATAACCATCAGAGTGGGCCACAGCAACGCATGGCAGGGGACCGCTAGTTTTCTATATAAATAAAAATGTAATGTTCGTTTGTGGGATTAACGTAACTCAAAAACCACTGGACGGATTGGCACCAAATTTGGACACAATACACTTATCAGGCCAATAAGTGATCATCACTCATAAAAACACTGAAAAACACAGCAGAAGAGACTTTAAAAGCAAAACAAAATTGAAAAACACATTACAACGCATGCACAAAACCACATATTTACACAAACACACAGGCGGGGTATAAATCAAGTTTTATTATTATTTTATTATATACACAAATATATATAAACACAAAACACATATACACAGACTGGGCCACAGCAATGCGTGGCAGGGGACGGCTACTCTATATAAATAAAAATGTAATGTTCGTTTGTGGGATTAACAGAACTCAAATACCACTGGACGAATTGCCACCAAATTTGCACAAGACACCTACTAACCCAAGGAGTGACCCTCACTCAAAAAAATTGATTTTGTCATTTGGGAGTTGTAGTTGCTGGGATTTATAGTTCACCTACAATCAAAGAGCATTCTGAACTCCACCAGTGATGGAATTGAACCAAACTTGGCACACAGAACTCCCATGACCAACAGAAAACACTGGAAGGGTTTGGTGGGCATTGACCTTGAGTTTGGGAGTTGTAGTTCACCTACATCCAGACAGCACTGTGGACTCAAACAAAAGATTGATCTGGACCAAGCTTGGCAGGAATATTCCATATGCCCAAATATTGACACAGATGGAGTTTGGGAGGGAAAATAGACCTTGACATTTGGGAGTTTAGTTACTGGGATTTATAGATCACCTACAATCAAAAAGCATTCTGAACCCCAGCAATGACAGAATTGGAGCAGACTTCCCACACAGAACCCCCATACTTAAGGCCATCCAGTCCCACTCCCTTCACCAGGGCAAGAAAACATAAAGCCGTCCTGACAAAGAGCCACCCAGCCATAGATGTGGATAGATAGATATGATTCACACACACACAGATATAGTATCATAGATTTGAAAAAAAACCCCTAAAGAAGGACAATTATATGTTGCATGTTCCAGAGTAGGCAAACCAGACAATCTCTACATCAACACTGACAAAGCAACAGCAAGAAATACTGTTTACCCACAAGCATAAAGACATCACATATATTAGAAACCAACACTTTCTCATTACTTTATTTGCCAGATCACCAGACTGGGCCACAGCAACGTGTGGCAGGGGATGGCTAGTCTATATAAATAAAAATGTAATGTTCGTTTGTGGGATTAACATAACTCAAAAACCACTGGAAAATTGACACCAAATTTGGACTACCCCTAACAGACCAACAAGTGACCATCACTCATAACCCCCCCCCCCCAAAAAAAAAGAGCAGAAAGGACTTAAAACCAAAAAAGCTAAATGAAAAAGCTACATGACGATACACAAAAAGGGAAAGGAGAAGAAGAGGGGGAAGGAGAGAAAAGAAAGAAAGAAAAGAAGAGGGAAAGAAATGGAAGAAAGAGAAGGGAGGAAGAGAGAAGAAGGAGAAAAAGAGGAAGGAAAAGAAAAAGGGAGGAGGAAGGAAAGAGGTAAAGGAAGAAGGAGAGAAGGAAAGAAAAAAAAGGGAGGGAAGGATGGCCCCCCCCCCCCCCAACCCATCAGTATTAAAATTTGGGCGTCTTGGGTATTTGTGCCAAATTTGGTCCAGTAAATGAAAATACATCCTGCATATTGGATATTTACATTATGATTCATAACAGTAGCAAAATTAGTTATGAAGCAGCAATGAAAATAATGTTATGGTTGGGGGTCATCACAACATGAGGAACTGTATCATTAGGAAGGTTGAAAAATACTGGATTCAGGCCTCATTACACTAGAGAAAAAATCCACTTAAAATCCGGTTTCTGCTTCCTGCAGAATTTTGGGGTTTGTAGTTTTTGAAGAAACCTTTAACAGCCTCACTAAACTACAAACCCCAGAATTCTGCAGGAAGCAGAAACCGGATTTTAAGTGGATTTTTTTCTCTAGTGTGATGAAGTGGATGCAATTTTAAACAGTTGTTTTAATCATCACATTTCTATTTCTATTTTGTCGGAGCTTTAAGTGGATACTGTGTGCATGATCTGAATGCGTTTCAAGCTTTGCTCAGGCTGTTTAAGACATTGACTTGAATGGTTTATGTTTTATCTATGTATTTCACTGTGTTGGACTCCACCTTGACCTTTGAGGACAGCTGGATAACATCATCATCATCATCATCATCATCATCATCATCATCATCATCATTATTTTCCTCTACCTTGGGTATTTGAAAAAGTCATTTTAAAAAAAAATTACATAATGCATAAGGTTGTGGGTTAACCACAACTCACAGTATTCCAGGTTAACCCCCTGAAACTCTATCAATAAAGTTTGTCATGTTGGGCGAGTTTGCTCTAGATCAGTGGTTCTCAACCTGTGGATTCCCAGGTGTTTTGGCCAACAACTCCCAGAAATCCCAGCCCGTTTACCAGCTGTTATGATTTCAGGGAGTTGAAGGCCAAAACATCTAGGGACCCACAGGTTGAGAACCACTGCTATAGATGCATCATTGGTAGGGTTCAGTGTGCTCTCTGGCTGCAGGATAAACTACAGTTCCCACCATAGTGGGCCAGTCCCCTTAAATTCCTCCAGTAGGTTCAGTTGGCCATGGGGGTTCTGTGTGCCAAGTCTGGTCCATATTCATCATTGGTGTTGGTCACAGTGTCTCTGGATGTGAGTGAACTACAACTCCTATAAATCAAGGTGAATTCTCGAAAAAGACCTCCAGTATTTTTCTTTGGTCATGAGGGTTCTGTGTGCCAAATGTGGTCCAGATCCATTGTCGGTGGGGGTCACAGTGCTCTGTCTTGATGTAGGGTGAACTATAACTTCCATCATGTGGAGTCAAACAGACCCCTCCAGTATGGTCAATTGCTGATGAATTCTACTCTGTTTGTTGTGCGCCATAGAAAAGAGTAGGAAAGGGTTAAGGGAGAGGCAGTGGGTGGGGTCATGCAAATTCCAAACCAACGGAGATGTCTGTGGTGGAGAAAACACATAAAATCTAGGATGAAATTGTCCCAGAATGAAAGCCTTCACTTGGGTGGTGGGCAGTCTTGTGTTTGTGGAGGACACTGGGAGGGCTCTTGGACATGTTCATGACGCTCGCAGTAACCTGCAGTGTCATTGGAGCGAGGGCCTTTGGTGGCTTGATACATATAGGAAAATAGGGTACTACTACTACTGCTGCTGCTGCTAATAATAATAATGATGATGATGATGATGAACAAGCCATTAGAACCAATGCCATCAAAACCAGAATGGAAAAGTCGATGACAGATCCCAAGCAAGCAGATGAAACAATAGATCACATCCTCAGCTGCTGCAAGAAGATCACGCGGACAGACTACAAGCAGAGGCATAGCACTGTTGCTCAGATGATTCATTGGAACTTGTGCCACAAATGCCATCTGCCTGCGACAAAGAACCGGTGGGATCACAAACCGGAAAAAATTACAGAGAATGAACACATCAAGCTACTCTGGGACTTCCGGATTCAGGCAGACAGAGTTTTGGAGCATAATACTCCTGACCTCGTGATCGTGTTAAAAAACAAAGTATGGATTGTCGATGTTGCAATCCCAGGTGACAGCAGGATTGAAGGGAAAACAACTGGAAAAGCTGACACGATATGAGGATTTAAAGATCGAATTGCAAAGACTCTGGCACAAACTAGTAAAGGTGGTCCCAGTGGTGATTGGCACACTGGGTGCACTGCCTAAAGACCTTGGCCTGCACTTAAACATAATTGGTGCTGACAAGATTACCATCTGCCAGCTGCAAAAGGCCACCTTACTGGGATCTGCATGCATTATTCGGTGATACATCACACAGTCCTAGACACTTGGGAAGTGTCTGATGTGTGATCCAGTACAACAGCCAGCAGAGTGTCTGCCATGGACTCATCTTGTTGTGTTTCAAATAATAATAATAATAATAATAATAATAATAATAATAATAATAATAATAATTTGTTTAAACATGTGAGCCATTTGGATCTAGATCCAACTAAGAAAGCAGGGTACAAATAATAATAAATCAATAGTAGTAAACTGCTTAAAGTGCAAAAGACGAGTGAATACCGTAAGAACACAATGCAGAGCAGAAGAGAAAACTGGCAAAAGAAGGCTCTCCATGGACAGTTCCTGGGGAAAATTGAGAGCCAAATTGACAAAGAAAAAACATGGATGTGGCTCACAGATTGAACTTTGAAAAAGGAGACGGAGGGCCTGATTCTGGCAGCCCAAGAACAAGCCATTAGAAGCAA